ATGAAAATGTCATTTTGTAGAAAAAGGTCTTAGCTTCAAAATGTCATCTTGTTTTTTTGGTCACACATTTCCATTTTGGTGGAGTTAAAGGATTTGCAAGACTAATAAAAGTTGTAGGGACTAGGTGTACTGCACTATATAATTATTTTTCTATTTCGTGCAACTTTCGTAAATCATTTCCGATTTTTCCCCATATCAAGATGATTCGTTTGTCTCCCAATGAATCATTTTTCCGTCCGCCTCTTATGGTTTCTTTGTTACTATTGGTACTATTATAATTAATTTATTCTTTATGGATTTGATTAACTATATATTAATGATAAATTGTTTTGTCTCGCAAGTAAAAAATTTTCTTATTTCATTCGATAAAAAATAAAAAGATAAATTCTTTCTTCTAACGCCTTAATTTTTCTTCGATTTAAACATGTTATACTACCAAGTTTGAAAAAAAAATTTTTTTTCTAGTTATTTAATTCGTGGTTACCATTTATAGAATTTTACGTTTTCTAGTTAATCATCTTCTTTTTTCCAATTTTTCTTGAAATCATGCAAAAACTTTGATCCCTATTCCGATCAACGCTTTCTACACTCCTTCCTTCTCACGTTATTACATCTGTTCTTTCATCAAAGATTTTATTTTTCAATCCTTTCGATATTCATTTCTTTCTTTATTTTCAATGCTTAATTAAAATTTTTCGAATGCAATTAACATTTTTCGTAGAGCCTAATAATTTCTTTGATCCCGAGGTACAATTTTACGTTATTCGCTTTTTATCTCTGAAACTTATAATATAGGTTCCTTCGGCCGTGCGTAGTGGTTAATTATATAACATGTTTATACAGGTTCGTGACTATAATCCTGTCGTTATACTCTGTAGTGTATTATAGGTTATTTACTTACTTTTCTCTTTCAAGGTGGTGGCTATAATGCTCAGATTCAAGTAATATGAAGATCAACCTGGATATTGTGGTCCTGTCGTCGTTGTCAAAATGCGAAATCGTGCCCGAGTCTCACCACAAATTTCAATATTTTATTTATACCAACATTCTAATACAAATGCAATTTTTGACACCTTCTAATATTAATATGCAATTGCTTTCTTTACAAATACACTCTAGGATTTCAATAGCTTCTTTCGCTATAAATCTCTGGTGATGGCTCCTATTACCCCGATCACGCTTTTCTCGGCAGATACTCTTTTGTTGCCTCTGTCTGAGTCGGGAACGTACAAATATATTTTAATACATTTAGCCTCTTCCTTTGAGTTTTCCTTTTATGTCTTCGGCTCAGCTTCAAACTGGCCATACCTAGGTTTTCTATAATTTTAGGCTTCTACCTACATTATCGTTGGTCTTAGGCTCCTACCTAAGTTCTCGCTAGTTTCAGGTTCCTACCTGAATTATCGCTGGTCTTAGGCTCCAACCCAAGTTCTTCCATAAATAAAGAAAAATAAATAAATATATACACAACTATACTTGGCAAATGCGTCCCCCTGGTAAGATGGTAATTAAAAAAATAGTGACGAATATAAAATAAGAGAAAATGATTATGTACAGGATTAGTACGAATTCATTGTCAGAGATAGATTTATTATCATCACGAAAATATAAAATTCGAAGACAACAACAAGGGTTGTTATTTATTAAAATGAGGATGTTAATGATACGATTATTATGATTATTATGATGATACATAAGGTTAAGAAAATTACAACGTTATACATGTTAAAGGTTCAACCATCTTGTTCTCAGAACTCGCAATTTGTTTTAATTAAACGTACTCCTTAAACATGATTTGAACCTTCTGCATTTCTAAAAAATCATTTAAATCCCTTCGTTTAAATCGAATCTAAGAATTAAAGGACCGTTACACTTTGTGATTCGTTCTCCATAATCTCCGTGAGTTAATTATTTTATTGGTTTATTAGAATTGTGATTGAGTAACAATATCTCTATCAAATTGGACTAGTTTGAATTCTTGATCGTATCTTACGATTTTCTTTTTCGTGCAACTGCATATTCGGGGATGGGAAATAGTTGTTGATTTAAAATTTTCTTTTGGGAAAAAGAGTTTCCGGATATTTTTTCTCTTTTTTTTTTTTTTTCATATAAAATTTTTAAAGTAAATTTTATTTTACAATGGAAAAACTTTTTTCTTCAGTTTCTGCTGCAAAAAATGTTAGAGTGAACGTGATAGGTGCTGGTGTGATCGGGTTGACGTTTGGTTTGATACTTCAAAGAAAGGGTTATCAAGTGAAAATAATGGCCGAACATTTTCCTGGTGATCATAATATCAATTATACAAGTCCTTGGGCCGGTGCTGACTGGAGAGCTATTAATTTAAATGCTAGAGAACAAAGTATGAATTTATAGAGAACGATTAAAAAAAAAACAATTCTTTTGAAAATATATATACATACATACACATATATATATATATACTGATGTATGAAATTATATGTGTGTGTGTGTGATCTGTATAGAATTCTTGGGAGATTCTTTTAAATATTTATGGGATTTAGTGGAAACACCTGATACTGGCATAATTCGTCTTCCACTTTACGATTATATTGAAAAATCATATTCGGATGATAATACATGGCTAGAAGATTTGGTTCCAAATGTAAAAAAAAGAAAACTAATTGATTGATTGATTGATCTTGTGTTTCTTGGATAGATAACACAATAAAGTAAAAAATTTTTTATATAGTTTAAAATTATACCAAAAGATGAACTTCCTCCTAACACCGGATTTGGAACGAGTTATACTACAGGTGAGGGTGACAATTATTCTTATTTATTTATTTATTATATTGATCAATTTAGGAAATATTTTTTTTACAACCAATCTCTTGTACCAATCAAATCAATCCAGTTACAATCGATGTTGTTAAATATTTACCATGGCTGCTCAATCAATTCGTCGATGTCGGTGGTAAATATGAAAAGAGACATCTTGCTAATATTAACGAAGCAATGGAAGATGATGTAGATGTGGTGGTGAATTGTACAGGAATTATGGCTAGATACTTTGGTGGTGTAGAAGATTCAAACGTTTATCCTATAAGAGGTCAAATTGTCACAGCTTGGGCCCCGCATATTAAAAAGGCCATCCACCATCAAGGTAAATTGGTATATTTATCATGATTTTATACATGTGTCTCTGTTTTCTACATGATTAAATAATATTTAATTAATTTTTTACATTTACTTAAGATAAAGATAGCGTTACATATATTATTCCTCGTGAAAATGGTGTAGTTATTCTTGGTGGTACATTGGATGAAAATGATTAGTAAGTTTTAATGATGGAGTTACTTTTTTTCTTTGAAAGAAAAAATTTTAATAAATACCTTGTAAATTTCATTACATGATGACGATGATGATGATGACGATGATGATAAAAACAATAAAGTACGGAAGCACCTAATCCAAGAGTTGCTGAAGAAATCATTAAAAGATGCATTAAAATTTGTCCAGAATTAACATCTGGTAAAGGTGCAGAGTCGTTGGAAATAAAAAGGCATGCTGTTGGATTAAGACCTGCTAGAAAAGGTAATATAAGGCTTGAAGTTGAAATGAGAAAAAACCCTAATGACAAAGACGTTATAGTTTGTCATAATTATGGACATAGCTCATATGGTAAGTATATATCAAGCTCAAATTGATTTTAATTGGTTGGCGAAATCTAATTAATTGAATTATATATATATATATATATATATATATATATAAGGGTATATTTCAAGTTGGGGAACATGTTTAGAAGGTTCGGAATTGATTGAGAAAACACTTGACAAATTAAAACCAAAACAATAAAAAGAAAATTTATTGTATGAATAATAAAAAATACAAAATAAGAATAGTATTATTAAATTATTAATTTTGGAGAAAAAAAAATTTTGTATATTATAATTAAAAAAGATTATTAAATAAATTAATAGTTCTAAATAAATTAAACAAATTTTCACCAAATATATTATATATATTTAATTAGATTTTTTTTTTTCTACATTATTAATTAATACAAAAAAAGTTTTTATTTATTTAAATCTGGATGTACAATAAATTCATCTAATGCTTTACCGGCTGGCACCATAGGGTAAACATGTTCATGTTTCTCAATAATAGCGTCACAAATAATAGGTCCTTTATCATATTCTAAAAATTCTGCCATCTTGTCAGGTAGTTCATCTTCTGTACGAATTCTTATACCTTTGACGTTCATTGACTATCCAATATACATATGTGTGTGCATAGATAGATATAGATATATTTACATGTTAATAAAATAATCCAATTGAAATATCAAAATATTAGAAATATTATTTTACCTCTGCAAATTTTACAAAGTCAGGATTATTCATTTCAGTTTGACTATAACGTTCTTCATAAAACAAATCCTGCCATTGTTTCACCATCCCTTGAAAATCATTATTAAGAATTAAAACCTTAACTCCTATATTATAATGAGCAGCTGTCATCAATTCCATTCCTGTCATACAAAAGCTTGCGTCTCCATCAATGTCTATAACAACATTGTCTGGTCTGGCGACTTTGGCACCAATGGCTGATGGTAAACCGTACCCCATTGTGCCCAAACCACCTGAAGTGATCATAGTTCTTGGATACCTCCATCGGAAAAATTGTGCTGCCCACATTTGATGTTGCCCTACACCGGTGGTTAATAACACTTTTTCTTTATAACCTTGTGTTTGTCTGTCTAATTCTTCAATGAACTGTTGTGGTTTTAATGGTTTGTCTGATGACGTTGGTTTAGAATAGGTCCATGGAAATTTTCGTTTCCATTCCTCTATCTGACCAAACCATTCTTTCCTTTCGGATGATTCAATCAATGGAAGAATTTTTCCAAGATTTGTAGCGACATCACCTTCGATTGCTTCAGTTGCCTGAACAACTTTATTAATGTTTTTAGGACTTATCTCAAAGTGAATAATACCTCCTCTTTTTTCTTTTGCTGCTCTTTTGGCTTCTAAAGCGAAATCTATATTTTTCATATATAATTTTTTTAAATAAATAAATAAATAAATAAAAAAATGCATAAAAAAAACAAAAAAGTCATGCATACGTGTTAAACGTCCAGTTACTCTGTCATCAAATCTTGCACCCAACGCAATAATCAAATCAGCATTTTGCATTGCTAAATTTGCATAAGCTGATCCGTGCATACCCAACATGTGTAAACTTCTAGGATCCAATTCGTCAAATGCACCAAGTCCTTGCAGAGTGGTAGTAACTGGAATATTACCACGAGCTGCTAATTCCCTTAGATTAGCGGGTCCTTCATCTGTTGTGAGAACACCTTGGCCTGCATAAATGATAGGTTTATTTGCACCATTAATCAATGCAGCTGCACGTTTAATAAGAGGATCATTTGACAAAGATGATGATAATTTGGTGGAGTCACTAAATGCCTTGAAAGGCAATGTGTATTGTGTCGGTATAGGTTTTTTAAGAATGCCAGCTGTTATATCTTTAGGAAGATCAACAAGCACTGGCCCTGGACGACCTGTGGTTGCTATTTCAAACGCTTCAGTAATTCTACGTGGAAGTTCTGCAATATCTTTGACCATTACATTCCACTATTAAAAAAAAAATACACAATAACAATAAAATAACGATTAAAGCATTCCATATATTATTAACGTTAATGAATCCAGCCCAACAAACCATATTTACCTTTGTGCAAGCACGACTGATTCCAACAACGTCAGCCTCTTGAAATGCATCAGTTCCAATTGCAGTTGTTGGAACTTGACCACAAAATACTACCAACGGTGTACCATCAGATAAAGCATCTTGCATCGGGGTAACAACATTGGTTGCTCCCGGTCCAGAAGTGACAAGTACAACTCCTGGTTTCCCGCTTGCTCTTGCATACCCTTCTGCCATATGACCCGCTCCTTGTTCGTGCCTTGGTAAAATAAAATCGAAATGTTTTGAATTGTATATGGCATCAAAAACTGGAAGTATAGCACCTCCAGGATATCCAAAAACTTGTTTGACTCCGTGTCTTAACATCATTTCATGAAATATTTGTCCGCCGGTAAGTCCAACAAATGAACTATCGTATGCTTTGGCTGGGGTTTCTGCTGTTTTTGGTGGTGGGATGATTTGTTTTTTTGGCGGAAGTGGAGGAGCGTATGGCGGAACGTGTGTATGTGGACTTTAAAACAAAATCGATCAATAATGTAAATTAAAAAACTTTATTTGGTGGTAATAATAACAGTAACACTTACCTTATAGTACTTGCCTTCCATCTTTTTTGAATAGCTAAAGAAGAGTATATTACGGGACGATTTATTTTTTTGATTGACATGAAATTCATTATTAAAAATTTTTTTCTCTGATAAAATTTGTAAATTTGTAGCACAAATTTAATGATCTAAATTTAATAAATTTAACTAATCTAACCAATCATGCATTAGCATCTTTTGTGCAATTAGTAATTTTTTAGTAAGCCAAGTTTTTGTTGTTGTTGGGCTAACGAAGATGAAATTTTAAACTTGTCAAGGAAAGTCTGGATCTATTCATGCTGAAAAATAAATATTTCTTCCTTACTCAAGGTTAAATTGACCAAGGATATGAAATTATATTTGGGTTCTTTTTTGAAAGACCTATTGAAGCTCCCCCAAATAATAATTCAGATAGTAAAAAATCAAAAGCAACCACAACAAGAAACATGATGAAAACACGGAGCCTATCTTGAAGTGAAAGCAAGATTAATTCGTAATAAGAAATGGATACAGAGAGTCCTGGATTAGGAATTAGATTTATAGAATTCCCACTATCCATCCATCTAAGGGGTAATATTATGATCAATTAACTCTTATAATGATCGATGGTATAAAAATGTACGATAGAACCGGACATCTGAATCTCAAAATTGATTGCAGAAGCTAGCTCAAATTTCTCGTGATCTGACCAAGGATTATTGATGAAATATGCGTTATAAATCTATTGGGTGCCTTATCTAAAGTCGGAAAGTTTTGACAGCAAGCATCAGATCTATATGCTATAAGACAAACAGGCTGTTAACTATTTTGAGGTAGCGACAACTGATGGCTAATGAAAAGCAGGCCCAGAATCAGGTTTCATAATTAATATTCACGCACCGATCATTTAAGGGAGGGTGCGATATCCAATTTGAGGGGTGTTATAATCAAAGTATGTTAGAGCAAAAACTCGCTACATTTTTGTTCTACAATACTTGAACTATAACGGATATCAAATATCTTTTTTAAATAGAAAAAAAAGTTATAAAAGTTTAAGGTTTTGCGATTTTTTTTGTCCTTAGGCTATAACAGTACAGAGAGTTTTTTTGAAATTTGTTAAAATTAATAAAAAAAAATTGTTATAAAGGCCGATTTTATTATATATTTTAACATTAATAGACACCTCCTGATGTGTAATGTAACTTATGAGAAACCTACCCCTTACAGCTGCTCTTTAAATAATTGTCCTTTATATAGAACTAACAGTTTTCCCCTAATGCTTTTCGAGAAATGATCTAAAAAATTGCAAATATATACGGAAAATTTCATTAATTGTTAAAAAAAAGTATATTATAAAACGAGAAAAAACTTTTCCTAGATAAATGAATAAATAGATTACACATCAATATATTTCCCAATTATCCTACAGAATGGATAGAATAAGTAATAGTAAAAAGATATAATCGATTTTTTTAATTTCTTTAATAATGAGATTTGTTGCGCGTGAAATTCAAATTACCTTCATATGCCTTCTTTTATTGTTATTTCCTTATTACTATCATTATTACTATTACCATGATCATCACTACTATTATAGCTACTATTAAATAATTTTCTTTGTATAAAGAAGATGCAAGGAATGAATAAGATATTAACCATTTAGAATAGCCGGAAGAATCAAATAAGTCGTTAGATATTCCGATGATGATAAATAAGAAGAAAACGAAGATTTAATGAAAACTTCATTTTCCCCCATTGATCTCATGACTGATACAAATCACAAGGTCGAACAGAAATAACTTGAGAGTTTTATTTAGTTAAAATCGGAAGGAGGAGTTTTAACAGTACTAGCTGATACATGAACGATTTTACAAAACGTAAGTAATTTGAAAAATTATTAATTATTAATAAATAATATTTATATATTTTTTTCTTATTATAAAAAAATAAAAAATTTACAACCTATTTAAAAATAAAAAACTTAATAATACTAACATCAATGAATTATAAATTAAAAAAGTTACAAAAAACATATTTATTATTTGATCCAAAAGTTTATTCCCTAACATAATTACCGGGAAATTCACCTATTTTACTACCAATTTTACCAACCCACCAATCATTTGCACCATCGCCTTTTTCTATTACCTCAATAATATCTCCTTTTTTGAAACTTAAATCTGTTGTTTCTTTACCTTCAAAATCATACAATGCAGTAACACGACTGACTGGAGTATCTGGAACAGCTTTGTCTATGATTGAAACAGGGACAGATACATTTTGATAATCATTATTATTTACAGACTTGTTTAATGCCATTGATTGTCTTTTTTTATACCCAAAATACCAGAACAATGAGAATCCAGCGATCCCTGCTACGACTACACCAATTACGCATCCTACAATTGTTCCTGTAGTGGTATTAGTATCACTAATACTAGGAGAAGAAGTAGAAGAAGTAGAAGTAGAAGTAGAATTATCAGTACCAGTAGCACTAGGATTAGAAGAACCGCTCGAGCTCGAGGTATCACTCGGGGTGGGACTAGCTGAATTTGTTGATTGTGGTTTTTTTGGTATACCATTATTATTTCTAATGTGATATATTACAGAAAGCAAATCATCATTGAGATCTGCTGCTACATCTGAAATCATAATTCCACCAAGTGGGGCAGGGTTTGCACCTCCATTTTCATTACCGGTCATAACATAAAGAACCTTATTTAGTAAAGATTCTGGATCTTCATATGATATATAAGTACCATCATTATTATAGGCATATGTTGATAAGGTAGCTTTATCGAATATCCTTGTCCAGTCAGTATTTTTTGATTCACAATCACCTGTAAGTATGTTATATTGTTTCATATTAGTCCATGAAATAGATTTCATATGACTAAGGTCAACGCAACTGTCTATAATATCTACACTATTTGGAAATGTTAGAGGTACAGTGGAAATTTGTACATTTTGAGTTTTGTCCCATTGAGCAACACTAATCACTTTTCTAACTATTCCTGAAAATTCAACGCCCATCACAAGTTTGTTTGCAAAAATATTAGTAGTTTTCCAACCGTCAGTCACTTCTTTAAAAGTTATAAAGTCATTAGTAGTAGGAGGATCATCCTTGGGGGAAGGAGCATCACCATTCTTGGGAGGATTATCTTTAAATGGTGAAGTTGGACCTTCTACTTGTTTAGGATATAGTCCAATGTTTAAACGATAACCCTTTTATCGTTATTACAAATGTAAAATATATAAAATCAATATACACCGTCTATATATTTCACAAAATAATGAATGATACTCTAACTAAACTTACAATTACATTCACCCAGTTTACTGCAGCATTAATGATTGCTCCTTGATTGGCTGATTTAACATCTTTATAATCATTTGGTCCAAAAGTTGCTGTAATAATTTTATCAGTACCAAGTTTGGTTCTTAATTCTTGTAACACCATTCCAAATAAAACTGGAACATTAGTATCACCATCGGGAAATTTACATTCGGTTCGTGGATATTCAATATCAACCTATTTAATAATAATAAAATTGGTGTTATTGAGTAGCCGATAACTAATAATTAAATTTATTTTGCAAACAAAATATATATAATATAAATTGATACTTACTCCATCTACATTATTATCAGTAATATGTTTTACGATTGGGTCTACGAAGCTTATCTGATCACCCTTAATAGCAGTCCACAACGCTGCGGTACCATTACCGTAATTTCCAACTGCTGCAAGAACCTAAATAATCATATTTATTATCATTGATTGATTGAAGGAATTAAAAAATTTTTTATAATTCTTACATGAACTTTTTTGTTTGCTCTACCGACTAAAGAACTTATATAAGTTTGATCGAATTGATTAGAACCTAATGAATTAACCGGCTTGTCAGGGGCAGTGACAGTAGGGGCAGCGGGAGTAGCGGGAGCAGCGGGAGCATTAGGAAAGGAAAAAGGAATGTCTGGGTACGCTAATAATACAACAAAAATAATTACAACAAAAAATATATAATAATAATTTATTAAATAAGTAATAAAAATTGTATTAACATACCATAAATTATATCAGTGTAAGCCTCCCAATTTATTATATCCACACTAAGTGGTGCACGAAGAACTCCTACAAGGTGAGAAGTGGCTTGACTTGGAGTTTTAGAAAGCTTTGCAATAATCTTATTATCACATGTTATGTCTTGAGCTGACACATTAGTTGTTATTATTATTGTTTTTATTACTAGTATTAGAAGAGCATACGTTGTAAAGGTTTTTGTTGATATAGAATTATATATTTTCATGATCAATCAATTAGTTAATTAATTATTGTTATTATAAATCTTTTTGGTGAATATTCTCTACTAAATTAATTATTATAAAATTTAATAATATCTTATTTTTTAAATTCATCAAAAAAATTTTATTTTTTCTAATAATAAATTCATTAAAAATTTATTTGGGTTGAGCGAGACATTTATTACAAAATATAAATATTGTTATTTTGGTTTTTATATTTTCACAAACCTTTATGAGCTTTCCAAATTAAATAAAAGTGTAATAAATAAATACACAAAAAAATTTTTTAAAAATGAAAAATTAAATTTGGTAGGGATTTTTCCTGTATTACAATAAATTATTACCTAAAAAGATGGGCGGAAACACAATTTACAAGTCAAACCTGCAACAAAACCCAACAAAGTGAGTATTGTACTACCAATGGTTTCAGGACTAGTGTCAGGTTTGAAAAGTGGGCTGGCTTCTCGATATTTTTTACATGAAAAACTATTACTATATATTAATATTTAAAAATAAATTCGTCCAATTTTCGGCTATCAATAAAAAATAGTTTGGTCCTATAAAAAATTAATTTTTACCCAGTGTTTCGGCAATTTCGACTACTAAAAATCACATACATGAATCCCAATCTGATGTACCGAGTATAAAAGTTTTCCTGATGAAAAAAAAAAAGATTTTTATATGAGTGGGATAAAATTACTATATTTTTGTTTTACTGAATTTGGTATTCTGCAAAAGGATAGCATGGTGATGGAAGGTTTGTTATAGAGAGTGTGAACTGTAGTAAGTGGGAAACTACTAATAATCATCCCGTGAAATAAATAATGTTTAAAATAAACACTAAAATAAAAAATTTGATATTTAGGTCCACATTCTATGAAAGTGCGTAAAAGGTACAGAAAATATAACATTAATTCTTCCAGGACTTTCTCATTATATTAATATGAACCCTTACGTTAGCTTTTATGTATGTTTACTTTTATTTCTTTAGTGAAAGTGCAAGGTATATACAACTTTTTATTTTCTTTTAAAAAAAAGATATATATATATATCCTTTTCATATTCTATTTTTTATTTGTATTAGTATTTAATTTTCCGAACAATTTATTTAATATTAATTGGGGCATACTGCAACAAAACCAGACAAAGTGAACATTGGTATTACCAAGGATTTCAGGGATCAAAATTTAGTCATT